ACTGCAGCGCCATCTGAAGCAAAGAGCATACTTCCTGTGGACACTTTTTTGGCTGAGTGGCCCATCTTGTTATTCACTATCTTTGCCCTTACACAACTAACATGTAACTGTGCTGACAAGACTAACATACGACCGTTGTCGTTGCTTAAGAACACATTATGAGGGATAAGAGATTTGTTGGTGCATTTGGTCGGTCGGCCGCCGTCGTTATCCTAGAAGTAGAACGACTGTTACTCATCCGAGTGTTTTGTGTGAACGCGCAGTTAGTCGGACCCGTTAGTAAAATTGTTTCAATCGCGCATTCGCATCACGTGACATGATATCGCAGTGTGAGTTCTGCGTGTCAGGGACCGTCTTTTGACGGGGTCAACTTAAGTTCATGTATTTCGGGATTTATTGGGGGGGGGGGGGAGTATAGACACTTGGACTAGGAGTGCTTGACGTGATGCTTCAAGATTTACAAGAATTAATAATTTGCACGCACGCACGCACGCGCGCACACACATACACACGCACACACGCTAACAAACAAAGACACCCAGAGGGCATATAGGCCAAGTAATTTATGGATACCCCTGGAAAATTTTAAGTCAGCTTTGGCAGTCACCTCGGTGATTTGCTGTTGATCCTGATTTTTTTCACCAAATCCCGATTTTTTCTCCCTGAGATCCTGATTTTGAGGTTTCATAGAGTGGCAGGTCTGCACATTGCATGCACCACACGAGTAGGCTATCTGAGATCTGAGGTCTATTTGTGTAAAAACACATGCATCTAGAATTTACAAACTCAATTCAACTCGTTGAGGGAGATAAAAACAGATTGAGGGAGACAGGGGAAAATAGAGTGTATGTCTCCATACAGTTGCCTGTTGTACTTGACCAAGACAAGATCAATAAAGTTTGTTGTCATTATTGTCTTTGTTATGTGCTCTGTTGTGATAATATGAGGGCCATTATCAGGGGGGTTGGACCCATGCTATATACAACTACCCACATTGTGATGATTCTGATATGTTTTGCTGAGCTCAGTCGGGTTTTCTCTCCACAGAGGAAGATGTGGACAAAGAGGAAGTGTACAAAATGGCTACTGTGCTCCGTGATTGTGGAGGACTCGAGGTCATGCTGGAAAGGTCAGTAGCTACTTTTGCATGAAACTAACCTGTTTGGTCTTTCTTGAACTGTTTTTATTTAGTTTTTTTTTTTTTTAGTTTTGTTTTAGATGTATGTATCTGTTAGCTTTGAGAAAGTAGGTTGAATACTCAGTGAACTCTATGTTTGCATGAAGCAAACAGGTTGTATTTTAAGTTAAGTGACTTTGTATAGAGAAAGTAGGTTGTATTTTAAATTAAGTGTGTTTGCATCAGGAAAATGAACTGTATTTTACGTTACCTGTGTCTTTGTTTGTTTGGCAAAATTAATTTGAATATTGTGCTAGTTGTGTATTATTGGATTGAGAGAAAAGGCAGCGTTTCAGGGTTCATTTATTCCTTTGGAGAGTAGGTTCTACTTTTAATAAATACTAGAGTCCTTCTCAATTTTCTCTCTTAAGAACACTACACACAACTTCTTTTTCTCACCTTGTGATATATTATGTTTGGGCATTCTACTTTTTCCCAGCCTTATATTCCTTTATTTTCTTTATGTCAACTTTCATATGTTCTTTAATAATCTTATACCTCAATGTGCTATTTTTATGATGAAGCTCAAACTGCAATTATTTATTTTATTTTAAAATTTATTCTTTATTTTTTTTGTTTCTTTGTATTATTTTTTTGTTTGTGTGATTACATTTCTTTGCCTGTTTGCTTAGGTTTTTTTTGTTTAATCATGTAACTCAATGTTTCAGGCTTTCATCAATCAAAGATCTAGTCCTGGGCAAGCAGCTCATGGTAGTCCTCCTGAAGCTGTTTTCTTACGCTGTCAATGTCAAGGTCAACAGACAGCAGCTGACTGTGCCAGAGCTCAACTCCATCAACATTATGCTAGGGGCTCTCAATCTGGTAAGTTGGCACCTCTCTCAGTTGACGTCATGCAGAGGACCACGGTGCAGATGACTCTTGAACTTGAGCCATTCGGGGAGTTGAGAGGTTGATGGCCCAGTTGGTTTTGTCATATCGGAGAAGGACATCATTGAATTTGAAGGCCGTGCTTCTGAAATAAGATTACAGGATTTTGTAGCAACATGAAAGCCATACCAGAATTTGTGTACTTTTACTCTGATATTTGAATTTCAGATGTTGTGGATGCATATATTTGCAAGCTGTTTACTGGGGGCTTAATTTTGCCTACCGCTGTTAAATTGTGGTTATTTTGCTCAGTCTCAGACATCTTTCTGTGTGTTTTACTCCCACCGTACAGGCATTGTGGTCAGAGCAGGAGAGTGCGACCAGCACCAAGGGCCAGACCATCACTGAACAGATGCTGCACATCATGGAGGTGGTGCTGTTGGAGGCCAGCCAGCAGCCTCCAGAGAAGTACACGGTGAGTTGGTGCATGAGAACAAAATAGAGGCAAACCACAAACACACACACACACGCACAGGGTTGGTGATTTTTTTTATTTTTAAAATTTAATTCGCATTTTTTGGATTTTTAAATATTTTTTTAAAAATGTAGACTCAGTTTGGGATTTTTGGTGGCTAAAAGTATGTTCTTTTAGTGCAAAATGCATTGTCTTTATTTTAACTAATGATTAATTTAAGCAACTGCAAAAGAAAGCCTTAATCTGCTATATCAGTGAATTAAGGCTAAAGACAAAAAATGAAGAAAATGTCAGTTTAAAAGGAAGGGGGAGGGGTAATCATGCATAGATAAACTTGCATTTTATTACAGTGTGTGTGTGTGTGTGTGTGTTTGTGTGTGCGCGCACTTGTGTTTGTGTAAAAAGAAAAAGAAAATGCTAATTTCAATTATGGAAAAAAAAGTAAATTGAATACTGTTTTATTTTACAGTGACAGGGGGGGGGGAAGCAGACTTTTAAGCATAATTGTATTAGTCTACTAAACCTTATATCTGTTTTATCAAACTAAGGAAAGGAATTCTGAATGTTTAAAAGATGTAAAAAAGGAATACATTTTTTTTAAAAAGTGATTTAAATCACTGAGTTTTATTTTTAAAATCAAGTTGATTTAAATTTTTTAAAATCAACTGACTTAAATCGACTTGATTTAAATCAACCCACCCCTGATTTCAATTATGAAAAAAAGTAAATTAAATACTGTATTATTTTACAGTGACAGGGGGGAAAGCAGACTTTTAAGCAGGATTATATTAGTCTACTAAACCTTATATCTGTTTAATAAAATCAAGGAAAGGAATTCTGAATGTTTAAATATGTAAAAACAGAATACATTTAAAAAAAAGTGATTTAAATCATTGATTTTTATTTTAAAAATCAAGTTGATTAAAATTTTAAAAATCAACTGATTTAAATCGACCTGATTTAAATCAACCCAACCCTGCACACGCATAGGCACACACAGGTTTACAAACACATACACATGCATGCATGCACACACACATAACATACACAAAAAAACAGATAAGTATAAGAGCACACATACACAGATAGATCATTAAAGAGAAAATGCTACGTTTCTTTTTGCTACCATTGCACACAATTTTTTTATCCATCTTTATTTTGGGAGGACCGCTAATAGGATGCTAATTATCAATCTCTGTTCCTCCACCCGACCCCATTCTCCCAGGAGTTCTCCCAGCAGTGTGGAGACAAGGACCAGCTCCTGATGATGCTGGACAGGATCAACTCTCCGTTTGTGCGCTCCAATCCGACCATTTTGCAGGCCTTGATGCGACTCATCCCTTTCCTGGCCTTTGGAGAAGATGACAAGATGGAGGCTCTGCTCTCACACTTCAAGCCCTACCTGCAGTTTGATAAGTGAGTGTACCCCTGTCATTGTAGAATAGTGAGGCTTTCTTGCCTTGCTATCAGAAAAGTGAGTTTGATTTTCACATAGGGAAGATACATACAATCTGGTACACACAACGAGTATGCACATCGAGAGCTGCGCAAACTGTGAACAGATTTTCAGGTCCCGGATAATTTTGTATAATTATTTTTGTGTTCAATACACGCACAAAGCAAAAATAATTTGTACTTAACAAAGAGATTTGGTGTCTGTGAGGTTTGATCTAATCAAACTCAAACGTTAATTTCTTTGCCCAAAGTAGATTTGAGAGAGAGAGAGAAAATTGTTTCTTCTTTTGCGAAAAATCTCACTATTTTTGGGGGGGGGGGGTTTCAGAAAGGCTCCTGTGCTGTCAGACCAAGCACCTGAACTTGTACCTGTGATAACAAAAATAAATTAATATACACCTGAAAGTGATTCTTTCAAAGTTGGAGTTTCACAAACTTTCCTTCTTACTCACCTTATGTACCTGTAGGTCGCAGGAGTTGCTGTCAGGAAAAAAATAAAGTGTTTTAAGATTCATGTGGAAGTCAGCTTGAAGGACTGAAAATTTCCTTTTATTGGGTTCTTGACCATCTGGTGTCTCATGTTTTTGGGGATTCCAGTTGCTGGCTCATGCTCACAAATCTTGTGTGATAATGTTGATGATGCCGCTAACTAAAGGATGTTCACTAGGATGTGTCCTTTAACAAGAAATGATAACCGTAGCTAATAAGAATGAGCTTCACTGCTGCAACCAGTAATGGTGCTTGTGTATTTGAATTGGATTTAGTTTTTATTGAGCTATATTTTGCCGTGCCAAGGCAGAACGACGTATCTGCACTTTTTGTGATGTTGAGTTACATTGCATTGCCATTGGAAATATGGGCATGGCCCTTCAGTTACGTCTGTTTGCTATAGTGAAATATCCTATTTGTAGTGCAGATACGTCTTCCTGCCTACAAAAATTAATAGTTTTTGCCGATACGTCGGCCTGCCTTGGCACGGCAGTATTGTATGCTGTAAATGTTCAAGTATGCACCATTGTACACCGAATATCGACAAGGACAAATAAAGCGGGGGGTTTTTTCTTTTCTTTTTTTAGATTTGATGAAGAGCACAGCCAGGATGAGGAGATCCACGTGGACTGTTTCTGTTCCATCGCCAGTGCCATAGAGGTCAGTAAACTTTGTACATTGAGATCTTATCAAACCTTTTTGATAATCCTGCATAGGAAAAATGCACCAAAAAGGCTTTCTGTACTTTCTGCTAAAGCAGATATGGATGCCTTTCCTTATGCATGCACCTGTTGTATGAGGTAGAAATGTTCATGAAGCAAGAAGCTCATTCACATTGCTTTCAGTGCCGTACATACCCTTTCAACAACAGTGAAGCCCATATTAGTGATCAAAATTGTGATAACTCTATAGTATTCTCAGTGCAATGGTCTGCCACCATATCTTGTGTAAATTTAGCAACAAGTATTTTTTTTTTCTTTCTGAGTCGAGGAAAAGTTAAATTAAGTAGAAATGTTTCAATTTACTCGAATTTTTTCAACAACTTCGACCATTATTACCCTTTTGTTTTGTACTAGAAGCAAATGTCAAATGCTTGGCTAAACGCTCTAGATCTGTGACCGATGTGTCCTCTCCCACAGAGTAACGCCAATGGCATCCGTCTGAAGGACCTCATCATGGAACATGGTATGGTGCAGACTGCTGTAGACTTCATCCTTAAACATGCTCCAGAGATCAAGACCATGTTGGCGTAAGTCAGGTTATGTCTGATAATAAATAGTAGTTTGACTAGGCTTCATCTTGAGTCTTTGTAAATATGTAAAAGATACCCATTGAAATGGTTGCTGTTTGAGGGACTTTAAATTTTATTTGTGTTGTCCAAAATTATTTTGCTTGGTTAGAGATGGTTGGAGTATGCCGCTGATTTATTTGTCTCCCTCTGGCTTGTCCCGTCTGTCTCGCTTTACCCCTAGTGCTATAAGCTGGACGTTGTGGCTGTGATTCCGCTCCTTTACCAAAGGAAACATTTGTACAGACCTTGTTTTATCGAAGGGATTTTTTTTTCTGTAACAAACATAGTATAGACATCCCCTTGTACAAAGATTTTGATCATATGAGTTAATTTTGATACAGTTAAAGCTTACCACTACTGATATTGCCAACATTATTAGATTATCGAGGCATGTGATTATCCATATAGGTCTATGTTGATGTGATGATCCTTTTGCTTATGTTTTTATGATGGCCTCAGTATAATTGTTGAATGTCGTTGTTGACATGGAGGAAGGACCCCTGGGGCGGTGCCACCTACTGAAGTGTCTTTAGGCCATTCCCAAAAGGGGGACATTTCTCGTTCATGCACCGTAGAACAGTAAATCGGCTGATTCATCAATGTCACGCTCATAACTGTGCCTGATCTACAACAGGGAACTGCTGCTTTTTCTTTCCTAATCCTTACTATTGTCATTTTTCCTCTACTACTTTTGTATGTTTGTCACACTGTTGTGACCCGCTATTTCTGGGGTGCCTTGAAAGTCGAAACAGACTTTGTGCTGTTGGAGCTAGAGAGGTGAGCAGAGTAAGCCTGATTCCCTGTAAAGACTTCTCTGTTGACATCCACCCCTTGGCGTTCATATGACCTTATGCATTTGCGAGTGCCGTAAAACCTCTACTAAATAATAATTTTTTTTAATGGAGGAAGGGATTCATGTTGTATGTTTTATTGTTTTCTTGATCAGAACTGACTCAGATGTGTGGAAGGAATTTCTGTCCAAGCCTAGTCTTTCCTATGTTCTGCGCATGCTGACAGGGCTCTGCACCAAGCATGTTCCCACTCAGGTCAGTTTTTATTTTATCTTTAGTAATTATATTGGAAAATGGTGGCCCTTATACAAAAAGTAAATGAGCCTTGAAATATATCAATAAAATACACGTATATAGATTGTCTTGACACATTGGAAAAAGATTCATGAAAGGATACAAAAGGATCTAAATTGAATGGAGAAGAGAACATTGAATGTTTACTTGTGCTCTCTTCAGTTAGCATTTTCTGCCTCACTTTGGCCTTAACTAGCTGCATGCACCACTGTCACAGAACTTTGAATGTAGACCAGTACAGCACAAATAAGATAACATTTATAGTGACAGAGAGTGCCAGCAGCTGCCTTGTCATGTACTTATAGATTATTCTCACTCATGTATTTATTATAACTTCTATGTTTTGTGCCCTGACTACAACTGCCACTGTTGCCCCATCAATTTTTTTTTGCTTCAATGCAATACTTTTGTTCTTTAACTCACTTGCTGCCGGTGCCTTAGCTCAGACCAAGCTGCTGCCTGCCAGCTTTTTTTTGACCTTTTTCAAAGTCCAGTTACTCTGTACCTATGTATGTTAGATTTATGAAAATTGACCAGTTTCAGTAGGAAATGTTGAGCTTTACAGAACGGAAAGAATTTTGACTCAATGTTATTTTGTTCATGTTTTATAGTTTAAAAAAAACAACAACAAATTTTAGGGACTAAAACTTTTGTTTGGCCAAACTAGTCAGTACAATATTGTTGTTGTTTTTGTGAGAGTGTTGCTGTTTCTGTCCTAAAACACACACAAAAATATAACAAAACAAAGAAAACTAAATTGATAAGTTTATGATAACTTAAGCTACACTATTTCAAGTGTCACCCCTTGAATCATTAGTCATTAGTCGTTGTACTATAGACTTTAGTACTAGATATCTAGTATTGGTACTAGCCTACTGCTGTTGACAGCTAATCTACCTTTCTCTCATCTCAAACTACCATCACTACAATTATTTTGCACTTCATCATCTGAATCTGAGTTCATTGAATCATATGGATTCAGAATCTCTAAAATTACGAGCCATTTTCAATTCATATGAGCATGACGTTAGTGTTTGGTCAACTTTGGCCGCCCGACAGCAAAACAAAACCCAGAAATAGGACTAAGGGAACTCCCGTTCCAAAAATTGGCAGAATTTCAAGGGAAATCATTCTAATAAAGTGAAACTGTTCTGAGTGGTCAAAGGGATGTTTCTCTAGTAATTGGGCTATGCCGTTGCCGCATATGTGTCAGCAATTAGTAGAAATAAAGAGGAAAACATGAGGCCGACAGGGGTGCGGTAGTGGCGATGAGCGGTCGTCGCCAATTGACCGACACAGGTGCGGCAATGGCGGTGAGTGAGTTAAAGAACTGTGTTGTCACATGCTTAGCACTGATTAAGATATGCGGTTTGGCTTTATTCGGTTGGTCAAGTGCATAGACTCTCTCTCCTCTCTCTCTCTCTCTCTCTCTCTCTCTCTCTCTCTCTCTCTCTCTCTCTCTGTCTGTCTCTCTCTCTCTCTCTCCCCCCCTCTCTGTCTCTGTCTCTGTCTCTCTCTCTCTCTCTCTCAAATTTCTGTAGATAGAACAATACCTCTATTTGAGAACAATCCGTTGAAGAATAAGACATTATACAAGTAAATCACAAAGGTGCCATGAAATAGAAATTAAAAGGATTAATGAGCGGCTGAGAAAGGCACACTGAAGCCTTGATAAATAAACAATTACTGACATGGACTGATGCTGATAGACCTATTGTTTGCTGATTTCTTTCCTCTTTATCTGGCAGAACCTGATTGCAGAGTCGTGCATCCCTATTCTGCACAAGCTGGAGCAAGTCTCTTCTGACCAGCATGTGGGCACCATGGCTGAAAACTTGCTCGATGCTCTCAAGATCAACCCTGACGCTGCCAAAAAAGTATGTTTGTATTGGATAAGCCATTTCCTTCTGTTGTTTGTGTGCTAGTTTGTCTTTTAACTCATTCGCTACGTATTATTTTCGGCTTGTGGACGAATTTTTTTTCGGGAGAGCGAAAGAGATGATGACTAGTGGGCAGTTAAAAAGTCTTTGGGGCCACAAATTCAAATACATATCAACGTATTATATACCAATATTTTCAGTATGGTTTGTAGAATACATCTGTAATGTTTATTTATGTATTTTTCAACTTTGGTTCCTGTAAGAGACGATTATGCAACACAGTTTTGATTGGATGCGAATAAAATTTGAAAATAAAAAATTTTTAATCTTTGGTGAAACTCAAAAAATCTGTTTGCACCTAGTCAAATCATACATCAAAATAACCATAAATGAATATAGACAGTTATTTACCTACATTCCATAATATTTGTACATTTTGAACATAACGTCCGATATTGAAAAAAAATTAAAAATTTTATAATCTTGAAAAACGATCTCAAACAGAAAAAAGTCCGCTCGTATCTTATATGGAATTATTCAGAATTGCATTTGGAATAAACCTAAGCATGTCTTGTGTGTAATTTCATCAAAAAGTAGTGATTTTGGGGAGAGGAGAAAAAAATATTTTGACTATTTAGATCTAGACCTAGATCAAGCACTCAAAAATATTGATTTCTCAATAACAGTGCATTGGCACTATGAGTCCAATCGTATCAATATTATAAAAAAGAGTCCTACACTTTTTTAGTGGGCAAAATAATGATAGATTTTGTTGTGTAAAATTACAAAAACTGGTGTCCGGGCTATAATTTTTGGCATCGCGATAAAACAAAGTCGAATAAACTACGAAATCGCGTTTCAAAACTGAATCTAAATTTCCGATTTTCAGTGGAAATGCTTGACCCGGAAGTCAACATTATGTTAGGACATTTATTTTAACATGGATATGTGGATTGGAATAGAATCTAAGCTAAAATTGAAGATCGGTTCTCGCGCCGCCGGGGGCGGCTTAGCGTACTGACGGCACTTTAGCCACGCCGCCCCCCCACGGCTCGGCGTAGCGAATGAGTTAAGGCATGTATTATTAAAAATTTTAAAGACAAGCAATCTCTTTCAGTTCTACAAAGTCATATTTTGATTTTGTTGTCTGATTAGACATGATGTAAACTGTAGATGATACCATATAGTTCATCTGAACAATAAGTGGTCTTTCTGGAAATAAACTTCGTAGCTTTTACTCAACCAAGTGTTCTGTGTATATTCCTGTATCCTAGTTTGTGTTTGCTCTGGCATAATCTGCTCCTTCTACTTCTTTTCACGACCACTTTTGTCCTTGTCTGCTCTCAGCGAAATGTGGCAGTAGTCCTGTTGGCTCACTGTAGACTACAAATCAACAACTTGTTTCCTGAGATATTGATGAAAGAGTGAACTTTTTTTGAGTTCTTTGGCGTTTTTTGTTTTTTGTCCCACAGATCGAGGAAGTGAGACAGCAGACCAAGGCAGAGAAAAAACGGCTTGCCATGGCTGTGAGAAAGAAACAACTTGGTGCCTTGGGAATGACGGTGAGTTATATCTGAAGAATTTGGTCACAGATAGAATAGAGGTCTTTGTCTACTTTTAACCTTTTTTTTTTCTCTGCCTCTTGTAATGTATTCGTAAACGTATTCAGGTGAGTGGTGGAAATAAATCCATTGCATTCCAGAAAGAGGTACATGTTTCAAATGTTCTTGTGTGATATTGTTTGTGGTTTATTTTCTGTTGTCCCTACTTTCCTTCCTTCATTTTCCCTTTATTCTCTACTTCATTTTCATGGATAACAGCTCTGCCTGTATGTTTTTAAATGGCCATTTTGTGTCTTGAGAGGAGTTTTATTGATACTGATAAAATTGACCATCATTCAAGTAGATGACAAATGTTGTGACTGTCAGTGTTATTTGTGTTGTGAAATAGACACTTTCTGACATTTTTACTAACTTGATAGCATCATTGGCTGAATAAAAGATGCATGAGTCTTGTCCTTGAATACAAAAATTAATGATAATTGTTGTTCGTTAGTTTGGTGAATGCAAAAATTTATACAACTTTTACTGGACGTGAAGAAATGGTTTCTGCAATTGTTGGTAGATTTTAAATAAATGTATTTGACAAGCTTTGGTTGGTATAAAGAAACATTAACCATGTGGGTGGTTGGCAGGTGCTCTGGTGTGGTTTGCTTCTTCTTTCCTGTCAAACATCTATCGTCCTCATCTCCCCTTCTTCATTTTTATGTTTGTTACTCTCTTGCAACAGCTCTAATCTTCTGGCGCTCATATGACCTTATGCTGTTGTGAGCGCAGTAAAACCTCTACTAAAACTAAAAAGAAACATTAACTATTACTCTTGGTAGATGCAGTGACGGATTTTCTAGTCCAGTTTTAGAAGATGTGAAGAAACGCCTCCTGCAAGTTTCGTACTTCTTTTCCTCAGACAAATGAGAAGGGCCAAGTCACAGTCAAGTCTTCAGTGCTGAAACAGATGGAAGATCTGAAGGAAGAGACTGGCCTCACCTGCTGCATCTGCCGAGAAGGATATCGCTACCAGCCGCAAAAGGTATATGCCCTTATGTTTGTCTGATAGGATGTTGGTTGGTAGGGCTTGTTGTTTTTGTTCACAGATACAATTTAGATCAGGTTTGGGGGGG